TAACTATGCAGAAGCTCCCTGTGGACACAGTATCAAGGCCACAAATTGCACCTGCTTAAATGAAAGAGAGGAATGTGACAGCTTTGAGGAAAAAGAATACAATGCTCCCTCTTCTCCTCTCTATTCACTTGTCTGAAGGGACATTGCTTGCATGCCTGAAAACAAGGGGCTACATTTAATTCACATCCTGAGTAGCATCTCTGTTATACTGAGGCTGGTGAAAAACAGTGAAGGGAGACATTTGAAGTGAAGACAAGAGTCTTATAGTGTGAGAGTCGGTCTTTGGGAAATCTCATCTTAAAGGAATTCTGTTGTCCTACAGATCGACTCTGACTCAGATCGCATAGGAGACAAGTGCGACAACAATCAGGACATTGACGAGGACGGTCACCAGAACAACTTGGACAACTGCCCCTACATACCCAACGCCAACCAGGCAGACCACGACAAGGATGGCAAGGGTGACGCCTGCGACCATGATGATGACAACGATGGCATTCCTGATGACAAAGACAACTGTAGGCTGGCCTTTAACCCTGATCAGGTGGACTCTGATGGTGAGTCTCTCAATCTTGTCTTCTGAAAGATTGGTGCCTTATTTGGCTATATACATTATTTTGTATGGTTTAGTTTTAAAGCTCCTTGTCCACAGTTTTCCATCTTTGAGACCATGTATATTTTCCTCACAGGTGATGGCCGTGGTGATGTGTGCAAAGATGATTTTGACCAAGACAATGTTCTGGACATCCATGATGTGTGCCCGGAAAACTTTGCCATTAGTGAAACAGACTTCCGCAGATTCCAAATGGTTCCTCTGGACCCCAAGGGCACATCCCAGATTGATCCCAACTGGGTGGTCCGGCATCAGGGCAAGGAGTTGGTGCAGACTGTCAACTGTGATCCTGGCATTGCTGTTGGTACGTAATAAAGAAACAGACATCTCACTGTAGGTGCATGGACACAAAATATTAGTGAACCAATTCTAAACCTTCTCTTATCTTCTATCTAATTAAGGTTATGATGAGTTTAGTGCAGTGGATTTCAGTGGAACGTTCTTCATCAACACGGACAGAGATGACGACTACGCTGGGTTTGTGTTTGGCTACCAGTCTAGCTCGCGCTTCTACACAGTGATGTGGAAACAGATCACGCAGACCTACTGGTCCCACACACCCACAAGAGCTCAAGGCTACTCTGGCCTGTCAATCAAAGTAGTCAACTCCACTACTGGACCTGGTGAGCATCTGAGGAACGCCCTGTGGCACACCGGAGACACCCCAGGACAGGTGAGAGCAGATTCATTGACTCAGGGCTCAGATATAATTTAACATAATTTTCTTATTTTAAACATTGCAATATAATAATAATAATATTAATATCCCTTTCAGGTTCGCACTCTGTGGCACGACCCTAAGAACATTGGCTGGAAAGACTTCACTGCCTACAGATGGCATCTGACCCACAGACCCAAGAATGGACTTATTAGGTGAGTTCAAAACCTCTCTGCTCTGCTCTTTCATTCCATTACAAATCTGCATCATTTAAATGAAATGCCAGTGAGCTCATGCAATTACATTTTCTTTTTTCAGAGTGGTCATGTATGAAGGTAAGAGAATCATGGCTGATTCTGGAAACATCTATGACAAGACGTATGCTGGTGGGCGACTAGGCTTGTACGTTTTCTCTCAGGAGATGGTTTACTTCTCAGACCTCAAATATGAATGCAGAGGTAAGCACATAAGTGATGGTTTGATATTTTAAAAAGAATAGCTTTATCACCATAGACTTTATTTGTGACGTGTTTTCTTTCATTTCTTTCAGATACATAATTGGACCACAGAGCCTTCCAGACAGAATGGGTCTTGTCAGTATGAATATATAACACGAGACCTGGATCGATATCTCTTTAACTTTTTCTTTTGAGAAATGCACATTGGAGGAATGACGAGCAAGTGAGGTATACTGACCTCAGGACATTAAGCCAAATGAAAGTTCAATGCACCACTGCACCAAACTCAAATTATGAGCGCAGCTCTGCTCAGAAGAAATTGGCCCTCACTTTATTGCTCTGATCTGCATTGAAGGGGGGGCACATTTTATTGCTTTGCACACCTGAACTGTTGTTGGTTGGCGGTATTCCTCTGTGGATGAGGGACCAAAGGGAAGAGTGTTCCATGTTTTTAATAATTTTTTAATTTTTTTGAGCATTAATATACATCTGCTGTGGACTCAAAGATACTTGTGTCAGCATGAAGAAGGCGAGGAGAGAACTTTCTTAGGCTGGGGTAAATATACCCCTTGAAGGAACTGTTGAGGGACCATGGACAGTATGGACGGACTGTTACTATCAAAGAGAGTGAATGTTGTTTGTGTGTTTGTGCATGTGTGCCACCCAACAAGCATAGTTATGAAGACAACCGCATTAATTCTTTTGTTTTGATTTCTCTTAATGACCCCTCAACCCACTATCATGCAGACCATATATGAGGTCTTGTATTTAGCCGAGGCTTAGGGCTGGCCCAAAACAATCGTCTTCTCAGGAAAGAGCACTAGAAGAAACGAGGAGAGCACAAAATTCAGGACAGCACAGGGCCCCAAAGCAGGCACACTGAACACTGCTTTGGAACAGTAATTATTAGCAAATATTATGTTAATATCTCTAATTTTTACTGAAAGTGTCAAGGGACGTAAACAGCAAGGGCCAGTCTATTTCCTTCACGAGTAAACTATTGTAAGTATGGCTGTTTGTATTTACTTATTCATCACAGAGGCTTTCATTCTTGCTCATCTCTGTATCTTGCCATCTTAAAATGTGGTCAGCAACCTATTCTAATTAACAACAATAAGTATCCGCTAATGGCAAGATACAGCATTACATTTGACCTAAATGGAAAAAAAACCCAACATCATTTACACAGTATCTCTGAATATTCTGCTTTTGCACAGTGTGCATGACTGGTGTGCCTGAGCTTGTGTGTACATTTCTGACAAGGGGAAATCAAAAGAAACCCTTTATGTACAAATATTACCTCATTAATTCTTTTTGTATTGGGGCCAGCAATACACAAAAATCACTTGTCTTACCAACAGAGTATAAATTGGTTGGCTTATTTTTTTTTTTTAAGCAAGAATTTAGTATCATTTATATGCTGTATATAAGATATTTTTGTAGCGAAAGAAGCCCAAACAGGAACGTAAAGGATTAAAGAAATGTTGTCTTGACTATGTTGTGCTATATGTGTTTCCTGTGCATTTTTTGATAAATTATTATGTTTGTTGTATGTTGAGGGTATTTCATTGTGTAGATATATGCTATTTAAATAATTTATCTAGAAGCGTAGCCTCATATGGAAGCGTTTCTGTCTGTATAAACTTATTTGCACACTGACATGAGGATGTCTTTGTTATTTTGGTTTTTGTATGTCTTTTTTTTTTAATTATTAGTGGAGCTTTTATATAAACTTTGTACTATAGTTTCTACCTAAAGTGCTGTTTATATTCCAACCTGGTATTTTGTAATGTCAAGTGAACAATAAACACTTCATGGAAAAAAAGTACCTTGGTCAGTTGGTGTCTTTTTGGGCAACAATGAAATACTCCGCCTTTTTTCTCAGAGATTTTTGGACTTCATATCTCCTTTGATTGAGGTCTTCTCCATAGAAAAAGCAAAGGGAATCGAGCCATGCCGTGTCAAGCGACTGGAATCCATTAGTTGAGTCTAGTGAAGCCTTAGAGAAAGGGAGTATCCTCGGGAGTCAACAGCATGAAAACTCAACATGAAGTATAACCCACTTAAATAGCACATCCATACAGATCTAATTACACATTACACAGGCATCTCCTTCCACCTTCCACATGAGAGGCAGACATAAGGAATTTTGCACTGAACTGGGGAAGTGAACTTAAGTTATAGCTGTGGTCCACTCTTGCCAGCAGGAATGTGCATTGAAATTCCATAGTTTTCATAAAAATGTCTCAATAAAACGTGTCAAAGTAGATGAGGTCCACAGAGTAAGCCTGCAGCTTGCTGACTGTTGAGCAGTAAGACACTGCAGTACATTATCAGTAAACAGAATTGAGATCTTTCACAGGGCCAGAAAGAGCTGTAATCTAAGGCACTAGAGAGGCCCGTTCCAGAAAATCCAGACAGTCTCAGTATGCCGCAGGTCTCTTTACATTAGAAGTGACCTCATTCTTACCATAGTGAGCTCACTGTGTTTCCATTACCCCACATAAGCGGTATACTGAGTCATCCCCTACTTAAAATATATAAATATATTGTGTGAATTACACATGGTATTTGTAAAATGGACAAAAATGCTACACATGCTGCATATCTATCTATGAAATTATCCCAAATGTATGGAATTAGTAAAAAAATCAGTCTAATCTAGTGCGGTCAGTCTGAAAAGTGTTTGCGTGTGCTGAGTCTGTTAAGATTCCTGGACAGATAGTGTGGCAGGTTTCACTGATAGCAGAGCTCTCGTTAGGGTTTGACCTTGGAGGCTTACCTGGCCGACGTGTTTTCAGTCCAGAGGAATGTCAGATAATTCCTAGTGTTTAGACGGGGTCAGAATGTGTGGGTGAGGCGAAGAGTGAGACGAACAGGCCCGTAGGTGTCCAGTGCCAGGAGAGAGGTCAGCCAGGTGCAGACTAGCTAACTCACACTGTGCAAGCAGGATCGAATAGGAACCATGTCAACAGCTTTGCAAATCTCCCATACAAACCAGAAAGCATATTTCTAAAAGCTGGCCATCTTTTGTCGGTGGAATCCAGTTTCTTTAAATGAAAATTAAGCTGGAAAGAGGTGACACAGGGTCCAGTTTCAGAATATCCTACTAATCGGACCCTGTTTGAAGGAGTTCACCTGCAATAAAAGGAATGCTGAAGTGGATCTGACTATCACTGCTGTGGAGCACACATCATCCCTCCGTTCTCATTAACAGCCATGTTGGATCCTTGACCACACATTACTAACAGAGACATACTATATTTCATGAGAGAGGGCTTTAGTTAATTCAATATAAGGGTTCAGACTTCACCAGACAGACCCACTGCTATCAGCTGAGTGTTTATGTGTGCAGTAGAACATTCTGCGGCCACTGTACCCGGTTATTAGATTTAATGACAGCAATTTTCTGTTCTCATCTATGATACTCTGCTTAATACAAAGGGTGGCCCTGCTGCTTGGTTTCCTCCTGCAGAGCTATAAACACAAATAAAAACAATGGGATGCAATCCAGCTGCATAGTGAAGACATGGAGACCAAGTGGGATCACAATAACAGCTCTCATCCTCAGTTAGCCCATGAACCAAAGGTTAGAACTACAATTTCTTCAAATACTGAGACATTGCAAAATATGTTCATAATCAGTTTGTGTTACTGTATGTAAGACAGGTTAGTTATATCTACATATATAAAAGCTTTACAGTGTAATGTCACTCACAGTTTGTGAATTTATAGTCTTTTGTGATAATGAAATATTGTGGTAATTTAGTATTTTAGCAATAGCAACATTCCAGAAATGATGTGTCTTTTGATAGCCGGGCTTCAGATGAATTGGGCCCATCAGAGTCTTTGGGGGATTTTGTTAGGGTGTCATGGTGTCGTATCATTTGTCTCAAGATCGTGGGTCCAGCTCTCTGTCAGCTCACACTCATCCAGCAGACTAAGCAACTGCTCCTCAGTAAGGTCTGGTGACTCATTCTGCAGGAAGACACAAACATAACGTATGTACGATTTAAAATATATCTATGGTGTTAGACTAGGGTTAAATGACAAAAAAAAAGTCAAGAAGATGTGCAGATGTGCGTGCACAACCAATCACACATGTAGACTGGATCTCTGGCAGTATCAAGGTCACATTTCCCTATTAGAGAAGTGACGACAGAATATTTTTCAGCTCAACTGCTGATCTCTTCCAAACATTTCCCATTACGAACATCCTTTACTGAACTTAAAACTCAGTTCTTGACAAATCCAGACAGTGTGTTGTATTAATGCATGACCTGTGATAACAGTGGCAGTTCATAATAATATACTTTTCCCCTGCGCCCGGTTGGAAGCTTCCCGGGAAAAAACACTTCCAGTTGGATATAGCTCTTGTTATTCTACTGATAACTCGTACTCCTCACAGGGAGCCTTCTGGGAGTGCATGTGAGTTCAAGGAGAGAAGCCAACCTTCTTAAACTAGGTTAAAAGGGAAAGTTTTCAGGATTTAAATAATAGCAATATCTGTTCATGGGAGAGATGTGCTATCTGGCATGTGCAACTGCAATTTTTGGTTTCAAATAGTTTGGCTTTTAATTCCTTTATCATAATTAAAAAGGTGAGACGTGACTAATTCACCTATGCACGTGTGCTCATAGACAGTTGCCATTTCTTGGTGTGTACTCTGTTTAGACAGCTGCAACTCAACAGTTAATTTGTTCCAATAATATCAACTCATTACCTTTCATGACATGTGCATTATGCCAAAAACATGTCCAGGGAAGCCAGACCTTAAATCTCTGGTTTTAATAGTAATCATTGTCATCATTCTCTCAGCATGCACACTCATGTTTCTAGCTGCCATCCCACACTGAACAGAATGTCCCTGGCCTTTTATAAAGGGATGTCCGATCCAGTTACTCTGTCCCTGATCCTGATGTGAGTCATAAGCCAGTAATTGATTCTTTTTGCCATTTGGGGCAGAGGAACTAGCTGTAAAGACAGCATTGGCATGTTATCACCTTATAAAGTTATTATTGCCAGAATGTTAGCAAATAGTTTCTATTACAGGCAGACAAGGAGCAACATTATCATTAATTTAGTCATGTCTGAGTCCACCTGAGGAATTTAGGTCAAATACTCAGTCCCCTGTTAGCTCTGTTTTTGGTCTCGGCCAACTCCTCCACTATGTTCACTAGCTAATCACTAACTTTGTGTGTGTGCTGTTCAGGGCTGGGCCAAGCCAGTTAGCTTAGCTTAGCATAAAGACATGAAGCAGGGGCTAGCTAGCTTTATCTTGTTTTTGTACAGATTAAACAAACAACATACAAAGTGTTAATTAAGGAGTCTTAGAGGTGCTGCTAGGTGGATATTGCCCCGTTTCCAGTCTTCATGCTAAGCTAACTGGCTGCTTGCTGTGGCTTCCTATTTAGCATAGACCTGAGAGTTAATACAGTTAGGATTAGGGTCAGTTTTAAGATCCATAAATACAAAGTTTAGACTGGTATTAAATAACTTTTATATTCCCATATGTTCCAGCAGCCAACTGCAAATTACTAATTACTAATCTGTATTAAAAATTTGGGTGCCAGAAAAAAATAAAATCCTGCACCCCAGTGTGACTCATCCCAGGCACTCTTTCCTAATATTATGCCCATGCAGTTGTTTTCACCCTTTCCCCATATCCCGCTGAGTCACTCGAGACAAAATCACATTCCTGTGTCTCGTCTATCCCCACGAGCTGAAGCTAATACTCTTCATCGATCATCTGTATTCCTCCTCTGACCAGACCACCCTCTGAAACTCTCCAACCTCTCTCCAGGACCCAGTTGCTGATATACATCTCTACCAGACAATCCTGTCCATGTTCAAAGTCCTGACACCCCTGAGGTCATGGCGGGTTGGGCCACGTTACTCAATTACCCAGGCGCTGCAGATCATCTCCTACCAATGGACAGGAGACCACAGGCATCATGGACACATTCCAGCCTTGTTGCCCCCTGCAGCATTGCATGCTTTTGTCCTTTGACATGCATGGAGCAAGACATGGCCATTTGCCTGTGGACTTGACCATCACCTCTAAATAGTGAAGGAAGATGGCCAGTGTTATGTGTTTATTTATTATATTATTATATAACGTATGAATAAACTAGTGACACACTTGGTAGGTACTGTATTATGGATAAGCTGTCCTTCCATGTTTATTCTACTGTTTTAATAAGTATAATTGCCCAACCCCACTCAGACCAAAAAAAAAGAGATTTGCTTGGAATGGAAACTGTAACATAAATTTGCACAAAACACAAGTAAGCCATTAGTGCAACTTACGATATATGGCACAAAAAAATTCACTGGTCAATTACTGGAATGTCAGTGTTTGAGTGTTCATGAATGAGGCAATAAAATGTGCCCCACTGGCTGGAGTATTAATGGCCAGAAATGCCTTTAACCAGCACCAGCCGTCTTAGACATGTGAACTATAAGTTAGACTTTCCTACAAAAAGGAACGAAAAAGAGATGGAAGAAAGAAAGAGTTTTTTTTTTTTTTACTGCTGTGACAAAATGCTGTGACTCTTTAAAAGTGGTTGACCTCAGGTGCCCTTAATACTAGGGAGGCCAAGGGTGTCTGTGGGTGACTGATATGTGTTTTCCTGTCTGACTGTCTGTCTACTCTCTACAGAGCCAGTTTAAAAAAAAAAAAGTATTACAGCCACTTCAGCTCTTTTACAGACCAGGTTCCCAGCAGACACCACATTCATTTCAGTAAACAGCCGAGTAAAGAACTGCAGATACAGGACAGCTAGCCAAAGAAAATACATGATCTGTTTGATTGAGGTGGTTCCGGCGAGTAGTACCCTTCTTCCATTGGGTTATCACTGAGACCAGAACAACAAGGGTGATCCTTTTTCTGCCAGAAGTAGGTTCTGTTTTTAAGCTGCCATGAGTGGTTTTAGTTCAAGTATCCATTGAACACAATGCAAGAGAAGATGTAAACACATCAATTAGTAGTGTTTTTTATAGACTATTTCCCAGTCAAAAGAAGTGTACAGTTGTTCCATCCTGGAGTTATTCCCAGACATATATCCTCTGAACATGTGAAAAACAAGCTGGAGGTGGAGAATCTATAGACACTATCATCTATTTTATACTAACACTGACTCACTGCACGCTACGACAAATACCAATGGAATGAAATCAACATACATATTAAAAAAATATGCTTTGCGAGCACTGGGCTCTGTTCTATGAAGTTTAAGTTAAAGTGCATCCAAACGCTACTGCATTTGCAAAGTAAGTCCCTCCGGTATTTCTCCCTCACTCACTGCCTGTTGGCCCGCTGCTCAGAGAGCTGTTGTAAACAGAAAACAATGCATTTACGAGGAAATGGGTTTGACGTGGCTGCTCATGAACCCAACACATTATTAGACAATTATCTATTATTCCAGGAATGAACAATTCCATGAATGACATGAACAGCCTCTGCCCTGGGCACATCATCTCTCTGACTGTCTTACCAAAACTGCTAAATTTGCATGGTTCACAACTGACTCATCACTCATCAGTAAGTCTTGGAAAAGTTATTGTCAAATAAATTTGCAAGCCCTATATATCTGGTGGTTATTGTCAGAATGCAACATTGCTGCTCCAGACATCTGTCTGGCCTGCAGCCACACAAAGCCATTTGCAGAAAAAGTAAGTGTAAAGGAAAACCATAACGCCCTGTTTAGCACCTCTTTGCCATGCATCCACTGTAATTTGTCACTTCACTCCCCTTCCTTGTGTATGTTAAATAACCTAACCTTAACCCTAACCCTCCAGACATGGGAGTCCTGTTCCTCTCCCACCAAACAATGGCAGGATGGGTGAACCCCCAACCTTTGGTAAAAGATCAAGTTTCTTGGTCACTGTCCTGTATCAGTTTCCCACCTGAAGATGAATCTGACAAAGCCAGCCCTGCAGCTATCCATCCTGCAATGGACCACCACCTCTCTTCAGCTTACTGTTGGCTCCTGTACACACAGGGTCCAGGACCGGTTTACCACAAGCAAGGCCTGCTCAGCTTTCAAGGTTACAGGCACATACCTCATCTTTATCGGCCACAGACCCAGGGGCCAGTTCTCCACTATAGGTAGGAATTCTATTCATTACACTCTATGTGGCCCCATTCAGATGTTGAGACCAATTCACTATACTCACTTTCTGCTATAGCACACTACTGATATCACTGTGAATTTGTCGAGGTTAGAAGAAAAAAACAAGTTTGCCAAATGTCAGACAATGTGGATAATACAAATGATTTGCCCCAGGGGCTCTCTGAGGAACCTCATTAAAGTCAGTTTATAGTTGTGATTCATGGCTGAATCCCAATATCCTCATTTTACCCCATCACTTCACACATGGCACCCTGCACATGTATTGTATGAATGAAAGTATTGTACAATGGGTCAGGGACAGATGTCTTAAAATGCTAACATCGGTGGTGAAAAAGGGGGTGAGGGGCTGTCTTGTATCAATGTTCGTAAGCTACACAGGTCTATGACATTACACACCACCAAAGTTGACAGCTGCCATGGTGAGGCATGGAGAGCCGGCTCACTGTTGATGTTGTTGTCCAAAAAACGGTTTTATCCTCCTTTGAAACATTTTAGAATACGCTGTAAATAACTACATTATTATCATAGTTTATATTTACAAAAAAGTGAGGAGAATTCATATTTAAGTTTGACTTGAATAATTGAACGAAACAACAACAGCTGTTTTTGGTACTTGCAGCACAGACACCACTGCATAGAGAGTGGTTCTTAACTTCCAATGCACATATCTCAAATACCTCTATAACAAAAAACATCCGTGGCCATGATGGGAGCACCTCTTATTCTCTTCCACTCATTAGAAGCAGGAAAAGGGGAGACTGTCAATCTGTCTTTATTTCAGGAGATCATAAAGTGGCAAACAAGAGCAGACAGTGTGACAAGCCAAAGGCTAACAGCCAGTAGCCATAATAATACTGGAATGAAGTAGAGAAGAGGGTGAGACAAGCTGAGAGCGAGAGAATCTCTTTTCTGGTAAACCTGACTGTGGAAAAAGAGTTGTGAAACTGCAGAGTTGCAATGCAGCTCAACAATGCCTGAAGAGATCGAGGCCAACAGATTCATCAGTGGGTGCCGTCTTTGTGTGGAAAGGACTGTAGGTGAGTGCTCACACAATCCCCTGGTCTGCTCCTCTTACTCAATTTTACTAGTTTCAATCTGGATTGTGCCAGGATGCTATACTTACTTGTGGTTTTAATATAACTTTTATTATCCCACCACACATGAAAGACTCTCACATTGCTGAGAGATTTTTTTAAGAAATAAAGAAATGAAAACCAAATATATTTTAGTCCCAATGTGCATACAATAAAGACATGAAGCTGGGAGAAATTAAATATTGATGCAGAGCAAGCTGCTGTAATAAGTCCATCGGTGATGGACACAAAAGTGCAACAACATCAACTGGTTGAAATTAACTGTTGAACAGAGGTTGAAAGATCGGTTCATGAAAATGTGGCAAAGAGAGCTCAGAAGCATGACGTCCTGCAATATTTATTCAGAATTTAAACAAGAGCTTAAAAGAAAAGAAAATGAAAACCAAAAGTGTGGGCAGCCTATTTGTAATTTTAGAGTGAATAACACCAGAATTCCTAAGATCCGGGGATGATATAAGGGGCTGGACAGAAACCAGAGGATCTGCAACCTCTGTAATGACAATTGTTTGGGAGTTGAGTATCTTTTTTTTCTTTTTTTATGTAGGAATGTAAGCATACTCAATTACAGAGAGGTATGTGCCAAAGTAAACCACCCATCTATGTTTAAATTAATCTTGTTATTACAATCAGATAAGCCTAAAGTTGTTTGTAAACTAGGTGCCTTTTTGAAAAATGTCCTTCCTTTGTTTAAGTAACATTTGTTGTACATTAGCTCTGCCATATGGTATCATTTTGTTATTACTTCATATTTTGTTTGTGCTCTATACCATATGATTACGGTCCTGAATCACATAAATAAATTAAATTCAATTAAATTTAAAAAATGAAAACTGCAACTTTCAGATCAAAAGTGGACATGTGGTGATGTGATCTCACAAAAGCTGATTCTTAAAATCAGATCAAGTCATTTTGTGAATTGTGGCCAGTCCAAGTCCAGTCCATGAGAGGGTTGCTAGTCTGGCATAATAGACAAAGATGAAAGCATATCCCTGTGATTGGTACTAGAGAATCAAGGCTAACATGACAAAGACTGTATGATTAATGATGTCTGCCTGATTAGATCGAGACTGTCCTGCTGAAACCACCCAGTCTTACTGTAAATGTTAGGATTGTCCTTCCTTTAGAAGTTGATCTAGGAATGCAGCCAAATGAGGTTGCAGGAAAACCAGCACCGGATCAGCTGTTGAAAATCACAGATTTAGCGCTAACAGTTGAAAATAACCCTATTGAACTTGTGTTATCTCTTCTTTCAGGATTTTGTTTTGATTGTTTTTGTTGTTTCATGTAGGTTATCATTGACAGAGAACAATGGCAGTCATACCAACAATACGTTTCTTAGCACAAAATAAACCAAGACCTTGCTGCACAGGAAAATATCAACAGCAACAACAAAAAAAAGCTGGAAAATTAAAGGTGAGAGGAGAGATTCTTTGGCACGGAGATGAAGTTCGCTGGAATGGTGGATTGTTTGGATTGAGAGAAAGGAGAATCCGAGATGACGCACAAAATTACAGGTCTCAGATCTGAAGCCAACGCAACACAGCTTTTGTTTGAATAAATCACTGCAAAAAGGTAAATCAGGTTGAGGTCTAGGCAAACATTTAAATTCTTAACACACTGGAATCAATCAAACTGAAGTACAGCAGAGAATCTGTTGCCCCTGCTACAACATTAGAGACTAACCTTTGAACATTTTCCACCTTTACAATAGGTGCTACACTTCAGCAGAATGCCAGACTAAACACAGAGCACTATACTTCCCATTTGCAGGGAAAACATCTAACATCCAATCCATCCTGACAGTTTATTATAGAGATATTGCACTTCAGTGAAACATTTATTATGTCAAACACATTTCTAAAACAAATTCATTAACAGTCAGCCTAATGTTAGCTTCCTTCGCTGGAATTCAGGACTCATTTTTTAACTCTTGTCATCACCGACTGTAAGTAGGCACTACTTCTTAAAAAGATTCGACAAAGAAACAATAGCATTACCCGGACCACAGTATCACAGTTATAGACATGTTATTTGGACTAGATGTTTAAAAAGCATTCCAAGTGAATGATATCACTTCATATAAGGCAGTATTAATAGTTTACTGTTTATGAACTGAAGCTGTGCATGCTAAAAGGGGAAAACGGGGTACTAAAGTAAAATAAATTATTAAAAATTAAATTGTTTTAAAGTTCAAAGCAGCTCCCTCCAAAGGTTTTTAAAAAAAAAGCCTAATAGCACAGAAGTTGACTTAAGCATATTGTATCTCGTATAATCCATGGATAAACAGAAATGTAAAAACTGCATCTTGCATGGTTTTAAAGGGAGTCACATGCTGTAAATATTTCGTAGAGAACAGCCAGAGCACTGACTTCCCGAAGTTTTGTTTTATGAGGTGTTGGGCTGGGCAGTTTGAGTTTACTCCCCTAAACACAAATCATAATTTTGACTTGTCTGTGTGTGTACAGATTAAACAAATAAGATGTCGATTAGGTGGGAAGCCATATTTTCGAGCTGGGGAGCTGCAGCTACTCCCACTTGCTTCAAGTCTTAATGCTAAGCTAAGCTAACCACCTCTTGGCTCCTACTCCATTTACCACACAGACGTCAATGAGCTTCTCATCTAACTCTTGAAAGAAAGAAGATAAGTGCATCTCCCAAAATACTAGTAAACTAGTACTATTAAAGTGAACACTTTAATAGTATTAGTATTGGTAGCATTTGGAGGAAAACTTTCTTAAACTAAAAGGATGTTAAACTTTCCTGCATTGCTCTGACTTTGAATTAACTGTCCAATTCAACACAACAAAAAACGTATTCTATTCACAAACTGATCTCTCCTTAGTTATCATGGTCTTATACACCAGAGAAATACGCACAACCTCTGAGTTATGGATGTTACACAAATCAACTTTATGACTGTACAGGAACTGTGTGAAAGTGTTTAAGAATGCCCTCCCAGACAAATTCCACACAAATAAATCTTTTCTAACCAAAAACAAGCCCGGTGGCACTAAGAATATGCACAGTGAGTGTGCTGTTTGCATTACACTCGCTTGCTAAGTTCAATCATTTAGTCACTGTATATAAAATGCAGTGACACGCAGCTAAATGCAAAGAGCGTCTAGCTTCACCAGTAGTTAAGAGACTGGTGTTTTTTTGATGTTTTGTGATCGTAATGAGAGAATGGTTTCCTCAAACGGAGTTTGGTTTAATTAGTAACAGATTCCAATTGTGTCTCCTTAATTAGGCCAGGAATAGGTTACATAGCATGGTGCCCTGTTTGATGTAAGGGTGTGGCGGCCACTTAATGGTTTTATTACCTCACTGTTTGTGAGCAAGGGGGGCATCTTTTATGTTTAAATTAGGAATATATGCATCATGTTGTGGTTCATCAGTGTGAGAACTGATGTGTTGGTAAAGTTTAGGACAAAGCTGTGAAGAAGCAAGCAGGTAGTTTCTTGTTCTTGTTCTTGTTCTCCATTTGGACAATGTCAAAGTCAAACTACTAAATTTATCTCAAGTGTTTTTCTATCCTTTCTCACAAAATAGTCATAAATGTCAGAGGAAGCAGAAATCAGCGCTATCCACCTTTGTTCTTGGGACATTCTTGTGTTGTGCCTTTAGCTACAGGGTTTGGGGAAAGAGTGACAATTGTGTGGCTGTAACTCTTCAGGGGCTCCTAAAAGTAGACAGAGCTCAATGGTTTCTAGGGAACACTGTGGAGTGTGGACATTGAATCTCAGTGAAGAATGCTCAAAAGCAATGAAACACCGTGGAGGACAAAAGGCCATCGGTGGAGTAAACGGCCATCCTCGCCCTCAGATCAGACTGCAGAGAAACATATTTAACTCTGTGAATATGAGAGTGATATAAAGAAAGAGAAGGAGAATGAAGAGAATGAGAGGAGAAAAATATGGGCTTGCGGAGACACGAATACTGCATGTGATTTCATCGTCCCCCTGTGAGAACGACTGAGAATGAACTGTGTGCTTGCAATAATTTGTCACACACATATTCACGGAGAGAAGCACTGACAAGTTTTAGAATGCACAACACAGGCACTGTGTGGATGTAACGACTTGTGTGAATTTGAGCATGTGTTTTGTTGTGTGAACAAATGTAGCTGCTTTGAACTCACAGTCATCTCTTGGCCCTGGCCCAGGATCTCCAGCTGCTGTTGGATCTCTTGGAGGCGCCTCTCCTGCCCTCTCCTCTCCTTTATATCCTGCAGGACCTTCTCTCCTGGCTGCGGGTCCCCATCGCACTTCCAGCCAACCTCTGAGCCGTGGCCCTGATACACAACAGACACGACTGTTTCTCACGGGGAGCAAACAACCCTTTTCACATGTGGACGTGCTTGGGTTCTCCTAGAGGGGAACTGCCCATTGTCCAGAAACCCTCCAAAAAATGTCCAATTGGATTAAAAGCCCACAGTTCTAAAGGCCTGTTTTACCAAAAATACACACTCTCCTGGAGTTTTTCGCCCTTGATATCTTTTTGGACATTTGGACTTGCAGGAAGTCAGGTGACCTTTATCCGGTCAACTTTGACATCATGGTAACAATAATAAACACATGTTAATGCTGTAACATTAGGTTTACAACAAAACTACTACTACTACGATCATTGTTTGGGTTAAAATAAATATGTCAGTTATGTTACAGACATAAGTTAGTAATACCAGAGGGTATGTTTTCAGAACAGTAGGCCTTCATGGCAATGGGAATTTTTTTTTCAAATAACGGGCTGTCGGACAAATGGGCTTTCAGTCCAATGGGAAAATAATCGAAATAATGGGCCGTTGGAACAATGGCACCCTCCTAGAACTGCACTCACAGCTTAAGAAACATTTAAAAAGGGATCAAACCCATATATCAGTTCATTTAATATTGAAGTTTTCCATTCCTCCAAGACTCTTGAGTTACAGCATGCTTATCTCTTTTAAAATGTCATCATGATGGCATGTCCTAAAGATGTAGGGATGAACACCAATACTGCTTTTTACAGAGAGCGAGTAAAAATCAGGTGCTTATATTTAAGACTTGAGAAAGCCATACAGTCCACACAGGGTCCAACATAAATCACAGATTTATGGCATCCACGTGCACTGGGTTGACACAATGAACCGCAAGCTGCATCCAAAGCAAACTTTGAAAATGGGTCAGGAGGAAATGGGTGAGTCATGCCTGGAAGACCAATCCATAGACAGCTGATAAGTGAGCGGCTCGTCATTCTGATCAAGAAATGGATCTTTTCCATTGGAGAGGGAACAATCTGTGGTGAGGTCATCAGATTCAAATTACACATTTAGATGTCAGGTTTGTCACAAATATTTGAACAGGTCATAAGTCTGTCACGAACTGTGTTGATGCTGAAATGCTATGCTAGGTTAAGGGAATAGCTTCTGCAGATGTAATATGATGAACTGTAGGTGCTGAAAAGCTAGCATAGTTGTGGCAAATCTCAAAGGATGGGTCAAACTGTTAATATCCACCCCACTCACAATTTATTCTTTATACGCAAGGATGGAAAAACATGGCGAAATGAACAATACTGTAGAGACTGACCAGTGAATGACCTGTGGTACCGTCATATTGTGACCTCTAAAAATACACAGCTCTATAAAAGCAGCAGCTAGGTCTAAAAAAAAAATTGTTGGGTCTGAGAGGATGTTGCCAACCGCAGGGCTGTTTTGGAGTGTCAGTCCAGCGCCATGTGGTTGAAATCTCCATCTCTCTTGGTTAGTCTGGATGCCAGGCAGGCGTATGTATGATCTAATAATGTTGAAATTGATGGATATTTCATAAAATGTCGACATCTCAATAGGGAATTGCATACAGCGAAATGGTAGGTTACCGGAGACAGCAGGATCCACCAGGAATTGTGAACTTAATCACTGAGTTACTAAATCTATTATGACACATTTATAACAGGATGTGATCTTAGTTAAACCCTCGGTAGGAGGGGAGTTCAGTTAAGTCAGCCAGTGTGTGTGTAAATGCTTCTAACAGGCATGCCTACACGACTAATATCACGTATTGCATTTACACAGATTTCAGGAAACTGAATGATACCAGTGTTACTTAACTTTAATATTTAAATCTTGGCAAAAACAAGAAGTGTGTGTGGCCTCACCTACCAGTGCCCTCTGTTTCCCTATAGGGAAATAATGACAGCTTCTATATGAAGCCTCTTTTAAGTGGTCGTTACTAGAGCCCTTCAGTAAAGACTCCCTCATCCAGACTACAAAAGCCAGGACCACGACGGGATCAGACTCCTGTCATGCACCAGAGTGAGAAATACAGCATCCCAACCAGGAAAAATAAAAATTAAAGTCTAGCTTTACCACCATCCTCACACCACTAAATGCATGTTTCTAAAAAAGCCCAAATCTTTGGGAGAAACAGTTTATTTAATTTGGAAACAACATCTGCCCTACTTTTCAAGAACTATAGACTGCAAACTTTAACATCGCCTGCAGGGCTTAGCCATGATAAAACTATGACTGACCAAAGTTTGAATGAATTTGGCACGTGTCACATATTTTACTGAACCAATTCTCTGTGGCCAAATTAACACAATGTGAATTCTGGTGAGTGTAAGGGGAAAATCTCTTTGTATAAACTTTACTGATTTGATCGTAATTACAGAAAAGATAGATGGTCCACAAATTACACATCATCTTTCCTGGCTTTCATCTCCCCGTTACTGTATGACTGTCTTCTATTAGCTTAGTTACAACAAAGCAAAAATAAAGCAAAGCTGTGAGGTTTACATAGTTTGTTGCATACGCTACTATCAAGTCAAGTGACACCTGGATCTCACTCACACCCTTTCCCAAGATGCTTCCTTTCTCCCACTGAAACCAGTAATCAGATGTTTTCCTAATGTTTATGAATCATATAAATTTACTGCATGACTACACCGGAGATGTTTCAGCCATATTTTTCAGTCATCCGTCTCAACCGCGTTCGATGGAACACTGTTATCAATCCAGCTATCTACACAGGCCATGTAACGTTTTGCTTTTTACTTGCGTTGTACTAGTGTAAACCTAACCCAAAGCATATTTTTACACTTCATGTCTATTTTTTCCTGTTTTACAAACAAAACATCTCAATGGAAAGCTCTTAACTATGCTATAATATTAAAAAACAACAAACTAAATCTGCAAAATTTTTATTCCAATGTACTGAAACAAGACTAAGAGTCATGCAAGTGTCTCTGTAAGGTAGAACAAAGGTACAGCGGTGGTTTCAGCTAACTGCATGCTCACAATGACAATGCTAATGTTCATATTTAGCAGGTGCAGTGTTTATTATATTCTAGTTTGCTTTGTCGCTAGCGTGACTAAAAAAACATGACACCAAAACTAAACTCTATTCGTTTCAGTGTCATGCGAGGTTCATCTGCACACATTGGTTCTGATGCTTGAAATGTAATGGCAAGATGAAACCGATTTGATATTGTTTGAAATACAGAATGTGAATATGTACTTGCTTTGACAAGTGACAACTGACAGCTGTATGAGATCATAAGTGTTAAACTGACACAGGGCTCATTTTATGTTTCATAAAAGACGCGGTAGCCTATAACTTACTATTTGCAGCACTTTCGCCCCACAATGTTTCTAATTATGTAATTGATTAAGCAGTAATAATAAATGAGTGCTAAAACTTTAGATCCACTTCCAAGTCATTAGCAAGAATAAACACTAGTCTCTTGTGCCAGACAACTGTAGTAATGACACACTTCTTGGAGAAGATTAAGGGAATAATGTTTCTTGACCTTTATAGACTCCAGTGATTGTTCTGATTTGCTTCTTCTCCTGGAATGTGTGATAGAATTAACTTAATATGAAGTTAGACTGACAGACTTCCAAACAGCCTATCGGAACATCTGCAAAAAGCTGGCAATTGGCTCGCCTCGGAGTTGTCACTTGACATGCTGTTAAAGATCTCCAATAATCACATCACCTATCTGGGTCACAAGACTGCTGGGAGGCCACAAAGATCCAGACTTTGTTTTCTTTAAGTATGAAAAACATGTCAAACATAATTATGTTGAGAAAAGTATGTCAGCCTATTGATGGTGATCAAATTGGAATTTGATGTTGCATTAGTGTCACGAGTTGATATAAAGTGCAGCATTGTAGTACAGGGTATTATGCTGACTGCCAAGTGTACATTGAATGCAGAATGAATGTTAATAGAAAAGGGGAAAAGCTCATTGGTGCATGATATGACAATTCCTGAGAAGCTGTCCTTGTTTCAACCTTACGGTTCAGATTTTGCTTTCCCATAATATAAAAAAAACAATTTGCCAATTGCCATGAGCTAAACCATCATTAGTCGATTATTTGTAGGAGTTTCAGATAACTTTGGTCAGCCATGCATTACACATTCATGAAGTGGTTATTGGTATCCTGCGATCAATTTTAGAATTTCAGATAGAAGCAATACATTCCACCCTGGGGTTGTCATGTTGTTCGAGTGTGAAACAGCTGCAGCGGTTGATGGATAAGCCGCTGTTGTCCAGAGTGACGAAATAGGAAAAACTGTGGAGATTATTTTATGTTTATAATTTAAAATAAATCTTGAATGCGTAACACTAAGCAATACTGAGTGTGCTTTATCTTGATGTTCCCATTAAAAGGAACATATAATTACATCACGTCAATCATATTAGTTTTGTTAGACAGTGGAGGGAGCCACTGAGATTGGTAGCCTGGAGCTTCTCTGCTCCAATATGGGTTGCATCTGTGGTGTGATTTGCCAAATATAACAGCTGGATCTTCTCATGCAGGCGCATTCTCAGATACATCTCATAAACAGCAAGAAAACAAGACAAATGACTTGGTCACCCTTGTGTATAAGTATAATCTTGCATCCTGTTGCAACATATTACATACAGTATATACAAGGCAAACAGTGTACCCACCGTTTGCGTCAGGTTCCTTTATACTGTACATTAGGTGTTGAAGAGGCCTGCCTGAATCTGGATCAAGAACTGCTTGATGGCGCTGTTCACACACTCAAGACAAGCTAAACAGGCAAGGCGTGCTCTGAGGCAGCTAATCCAAGGAAGTGTCAACAGTCAAATCATAAACGCTACTGTATATTCCAAACAAAGGAATTTGTACAACGTGTGGTCCTTCCAACCACATTCTCCGTGACATTTTTGACTAGCTAAAGTCAAAAATAGATACATGTCTTTTTTTGTTACACAAGTTACACAAATCAAACAAAGGGGGGAAAAACACTTATGTGATGTGAATGCTAGCCAACATTT